AAAAGAAGCAAATGAAAACTGTAGGCAGAAATACACAGAATAAGATACAATTAAAGCCAAAGTAATGAAGCGATTGGAAGGTAATAAAGAGAAAGCAAGGTTGACAACTTCTCCTGTAAATGGAAAACTGAGACCTGCATTTTCAGCATTTGATTTCAAGAGTTGCTGCCACCTTCGCTCAGAAGTATATAATAAAGACAGAAAAGAAGAAACCTGTACATAGGGGGCGAAAATTTTGGAATGTTAGCACTTTAGGTTTCAAAGAAAAGATTCTATAGAAAAGCGAATGAACCGGGTGATTCTTGGGGAAAAGAAGTGAGCAGTCGAATATGTGGTGTATCTTGCTTAGTAGCTAAAGAGTCTGTATTGCATGAAAAGTGTATGTGGTCCTTTGTGCAGAGCGAGCCAGCAAACAAGAAACGAGAACGACCACCTATGAAAGACGTTGCATCAGCATTTGTCTGAGTGTGTTCTTTCATTGAGGATAGCGATGACTGCCAATTTATTTTCTTTACAAAACTTATTGCAGATCATGGAAGAATATGTACTGTACCAGCAGAAGCAACATTAAAGAAAACATTATTAGAGAAATATGGTGCTTACATAATTATTTCTGATGTTGCATATAAACCTACTGTAGTCTGTTTTCGTAACACTCGTCACTCATGACACAATTTTATCTGATTCCTGTTAGGCTTCAAAGGAAAACAATGAAAATGAAGACCGTTTATGAATATAGTTGGAACAGCAGCAGCCACTATAAGGGAAGATATAAGATCACTGGTGTATGATGTTGAAGAATATCTATGTGCACCACCAGCAGACCTTCCTAATGATGTAAGAAAGGTGATCCCTCTATCCCTTTAAACATTTTCGAAAGATGTCATCGTAAAAGACAGAAAGAGCAGGGATACAGTACAACTGGAAAAAAGTGTGAAGTCATAGCTCACAACATTATTTCTGCTATTAGGCCACGATCATTCCTGTCGCAGATTTATATCGGTCTCGGGGTGTATATACACAGCAAATATAAATCAAAGCTGATGTTGAATATTTTATCTAAGCTGAGCATTTGCGCCTCATACAAAGAAACAGCCCTGTATGAAGCCTCGGCCGTCATGCAGCAGTGCCGATTTTAACGTGCAAAGTACTGATGGCTATAACACGTTCCACTGTAGGGAGCTATACTATACAATGCATAACCCCTTCAAAATCGATGCCAGGTATATAGGCAATACAAAGGCTGAAGTCTATGCCTTCAGTGGAAGCTTTTGTTTCTGTGAAGCAAATTCCAATAAAGGTTCCAAACGAGAGGCAATTTGGGATTAAAAAAGTCGTCAATGATCTTAACACTAGATGATGTAAACAATAGAGGGGGCGTCGCCAGTGAGGAGACAAAATTTTTATTTTCTATGAAAATATAAGTGGTATCCAAAAGCTGAATATACCAAAAATCAATGCTTAACGAGTAAAACACAAAAATCGCGAACAACCTTCATTTTTTCAAAATAACGGCGAAAACTTACCTTGGATCGGTGCGAGCTCTTTCAAGAGAAGACTTGACCAACACTGGAGCGGGTTCAGGTACATTCAGGAGCCGGTGCATGCCCAGTATTTGCCAACAGTGCGTGACAGAGACGTGACCGACTCCCGGGCGGCATGCGAGCCGATCTTTTGGTGAAGAGGATAAATGAAAAGGAAAAGTAATCAGAGACATGACCGATCGCCCAAGTGGCTAACGAGCCGATCAGTGGCGAAGAGGATAAAAGTAAAAGTAAAAGGGATATTTGGTATGTTGTTAAGGAACGTATCCCCAATTATTCTACCAAGTATCATTTCATTATGAATTAGTTCAACTTTTTTTCCCAATTTCCCCGGACTATGTTACTAGAGGTAGCCATACCGAGGGAAGGAGGCCAGTGGCCTGTGTAGGATCCCTCCATTGGTCTTCATAATTTTTTCTAGGGCTGTTTTAAGTCCTGTTCTCGATTCCTCTGTGAAGAAGTATTTCGTTATGTTCGTTCCTCATGATAAATTGGCTAGCTTGAAATTATGTCTCGTTGTGTTGGTGGCGCGTGACATCACAAAAAGGGTGCACTGTAATGTTAGTGTGTATTTGTGTAAAGGTGTATATATATATATATATATATATATATATATATATATATATATATATATATATATATATATATATATATATATATATATATATATGCATTCGCCTTGCATTCCAGTGGGTTCGGGCTCGATTCTCGGTCAGAATGAAACTATGGGCAAGTTTATTTACGCCCGCCATTTACCTGAATCTACCCAGCATAATCGGGGGCATGGATGTTAATCGATTTGCTGATCGTGTTCCGGGGTAATGGTTAACCAATGCAGATGGCGAGTTGTCCGGTTTTCCCCGATTATTCCTCGACACTGGGTCATAAAGTTCGTTAACTTGGGGTGTGGTTGTTGTATATTGGTGACAACGTTTACACCTTAAAAACAAATTGACTTTTACGTGGCCCTAAGGCCGGCCAACCTCAAACATGGGGTCAAGGGATAACCATTACTATTATTATTATTATTATTATTTTTATTATTATTATTATTATTATTATTATTATTATTATTATTATTATTATTATTACGTGCACACGAGCATTTTTCAGTAATGTAACTGTACAGTATGTGTACTGACTACGTGTATGTTTGTCAGTGCTGCTGCATTACTTTTCGTGCAGAAGTGAATGTATACCTTCGCATACAGGCGTGCGTACGTGAGTAAGCATAGGTGGTTGGTTGTATCTGTGTAAGCATGACAAGTTCAGATCAGAGCTAAGGACAGCCTGGTCTGGGTGTGTATAAATACGCGATATGTACAGTATATGCATGAGTGTGCATGTGTATTGTATATGTGTATGCTTGTGTGTTATGTATGAGTTAAATAGGGATGTTTGTTGTGTGAGTGTAGTGTACGACATGTACACATACCCAGGACCACTCGCTTGTCCACTACTCGGTCAGGGTGAAATATAGGTAATTTTTTTTTACACCACTTGTCTCTGTCTTCCCAGCAGTAATTGAGAACTTGGATGTTGATCGATTTAATTTGCGGATCGTGTTCAGGGTTAATAGCGAGCCAGTGCAGATGACGAGTTGTCCGGTCTTCTTGGATTATTCCTTAACGCTGGGTCATACAGCTCGTTAACTTAGGGTGTGGTTGTTATGTTGGCGATAGCTTCTACACCTAGGTGGTCCTTGGACTGGCCAGCCTGGAACACGAGGCAGGAGGGACAACCGTTATTGTGCATGCACGTGTATTATATAAGTGTATGCGTGTGCATTGTGTATGATTGTTTATTGTCTAGATGAATGTGTATTCATATGTATTGTATGGGTGTATGAGTATGATGCATACTCATGCACCCATGCAATACATGTAAATACACATTCATCAACATAATGCATAGGATACTGTATTCATGTTTACTATGTAAGTGTGTTCGTATAAATGTTTATGGATGTGTATTGTATAAGTATGCATCCCATAATATGCATGTTTATTGTGTAATGTATGAGTGCAGACATTGCATGTTTACTTTGTAGGTGTATCTTTATGAATGCCATGTGTAGGTGTGTATATATGCATGTGCATAGTGTATGTGTGTTCTGTATATCTATGTGCATTGTATGTGTGGATGTCTGTTTTGGTGTGTGCGTATAAATATGTATTTGTAGGTGCATATGTATGCATGTGCAGATGTGCAGTGTGTAGGTTTCAGGTGTATGCAGGTAAACGTATAATATGCGTGTTTGCATGTCTATTGTCTAGGTTTATGTGTATGTACTGTTAGATGCATACGTATTGTTTACGTGTATGTGTATGCATATATGTGTATGATGAATGGTTGATGGTGTGTACGTACCAGCGAACAAAGTAACAACAGTAGCGGCGGGACAACACCTGCAACCTGCTCTTGATGGCGGTGCAGACGCCAGGTTACCTTGCAGACGGCACTAACATGACTGTTCAATTTTGCTGTTTTATATTAATATTATTAAACAAGTTCATTTTCAGTCCAGTAATATTAACTATTAGTCACTAAATGAGGCTGTCTCGTAGTTTTATCTAGAATAATGACGAGGAAGCCCAATGCAGTTATTGTAATAGCGATTCCCATTGACCTTGGCGCAACGAAAATAGGTATCAGTATTACTGAAATGCTCTAATTGTATTAATTTAATATTTTCACTAATGGCTTAAAGGTTCGCCATATATATATATATATATATATATATATATATATATATATATATATATATATATATATATATATATATATATATATATATATATATATATATATATATACATATATACATATATATATATACATATGAAAAAAAAATCGTGATACACAAGTGTATACTTTGCGGTGGAAAATGGCCTAGCAATGCGTAACCCGAAGCGGGCTTGCTCGCGGCGCTACCGATCGACCCCCGCGGGAGATAAACAATGGCTCCACTCACGATTGCCTATATTGTCTCTACAATGAAGTGCGAGATGTCCATCTTTATTTATCATCCCTCAATGAATTACTCTTGCATATATTCTATATCCATTGCTACAAAATATATTCAAATATTATGATTACTGCATTTTCGCGAAATGGAACCCTTACAGTGAATATCGGAATATGAATATTAATGAGGTAGGCCGAGTGCGGGAGCGCGGAGGGGGAGACGGGCCGGGTTGAGAGGCCGCGTCTTTTTATGGAATCAATAACGTACGGGAATGGCGCCGCTATGGCCGCCGCCGCCGCACCCCGGGAATCACGCCGCATCTAAACTCTTCTAAAAACTTGTTTTAATTTTTATTATCCATCGTATATCTTCATAGTGAATATTAGTAAAATTTATGATTTAGTTTAATATGGGATGATATTATTAAGCTACGGGTTACCGCAAAAATTCGGAGAATTAATTAATTCCTATATCTTATATCATTGGAACAAAACGGGAACTGCGGGTAGGAAGATCGGGGGTAAGAACTATTTATTACTTTGTTTATTAATAACTAACAACAAATAATAAATGTTGAAGTTGCAGGTATTTAGTAATAAGAATCAACCCAGATCGCATAACAGTAGTAATATCAAATTATAAGTACATAAGTAAGTAGGAAAGGCTATGTTTTTGTTTGGTTGGGTGGGATGAGTTACGGGTCTGGCTGGCTTCCGCTCGCAGAATGGGGACGGAGCAATGGTGAAAATTACTGTTTTGGCTTCGGCTGCCACCAGATGATAAATCCCGCCGCTAACTCTCCGCTTAATTCCTTTTGGTCACATCAGTAGTGAAATATATTTGATTTTGTGATTATGAAATATTGGTGAGGGCCGGCTGATACCATCAGAGATAGGCAACAGTCATTGAACTTGTGAATGTGATGTAAAGGACGTGCTTTAATTTTTCTCCCATGAAAAGTTGAAATTCCAGTTCGAATATTTATTAATTGTTGATATGGGTTTTCTATGACATCTTGCTAATCTGGAGTAATGCACATTGTAAGGCATAATCCTGTGAACCTGGATTCATCTTCAACTGAAAAACTCATCATTACTTTACTCTGAAGCACCAAGTGAACTCATCATCTATTACAGACATTTTGTAGTTGTTATGGATGTTACTATTTGTGATAAACCAAGATTAATAACTTTGTACATCTGTCCTGAGTGAATGAATAATACTAATATCTTGAGTTTTTATTTTCAGGAATGGGCTTGATATCTAGCTTGTAATCGACCCCCCCCCCCCTGTGATTAAGGTTAGTCTACTTTTCCACTTTTAAGAGTGATTGTGATTAATTACATAATGGTAACTTTTTTCTTGTTAATTTTTTATTAGGGTCTTCATCAGTAAAGTTAATGTGTGGATTCCAGACTTGGTGGGGGATCAAGGAAAGAATGAAAGTACTCTTAACAAATGACAAAAAAATAAGACTGCAGAGCTAGACTAAACCTGGTGATACTTAACAGAGAGCAGGACAAAACTTTCAGTTTTTAGGATTATGTTTTTGGTCTGTGGTCATTTGTCCAGCCGCAGACCTTTACTTAGTTCCGCTTTTGTCTGGCATTTGTTCTTGATTCGTCGAGGCTGATAATGTCAGGACTAGAAAAATTACCTCTGCTCATGGTAGTGGTGATTTGTCTGGCCACTTTGTCCAGCATTTGTACTGATTGATCGAGACTGTTGGCACCAATCCTAGCTTACTGAATTTGGTCTATTACAAATCTTAGCTGACATAACCAAACCATGTTTACAAGTGACCGAATTCCATAATCTACATCTATATAGCAGAAGTAAGCAACAGTCTCTAAATAGACTAATAATTACTATGTTTTTTGAACATTTATGACAATTTACAAGTCGGAAATGGATTCGATGTTGGCCCTACGGAAAACAACTGTAACTTTTCTTAGGAAACAGCGAGTGGCACATCATCATCAACAAATAATGTTTTACAGCCATTTTCCACATTTGTGTTGCTTAGCATGCAAGTTGACAGAGCAATCACTGAGCCATATCTAATGTTAACTCTTTACTTTACTTTTATCCTCTTCACCACTGGTCGGCTCATTAGCTGCTTGGGCAAGTACTGGGCATGCACTGGCTCCTGAATGTATCTGAACCTGCTCCAATGCTTGTCAAGTCTGGTCTTGAAAGAGCTCACACTTGGTGCTGTCACAACACACTGGCAGATTGTTCCAAGAGGTCATAACTCTCACTCCAAAAAAGTTAGCCCTCACAGTTTTCTGGACTTGCGGCTTCTTCAACCTTGAGCTATGACCCCTTGTGGGGCGAGTGTCTGCCAGCTCCAGGTAAGGGCACTCGACTGAGTATTGCCCTTTGAGATGTTTATACACCAAGTAGGTACCCCCTTGCCCGTCTGTAGTATAAGCTAGGCAATTTCAGGCGCTCAAATCTCTCAGGGTAGCTGAGGTGTCAAAGTGCAGGCACCAGTCTGATGGCCCTCCATTGGATATTTTCAATCAACTGACAGTCCCTAGCATATCTCGGGGGCAGATGGGATGACAGTACAGTGGGGTATGTTATAACGAATCTAATTGGTTCTAGAACCTCGTTCGTTATAGGATTAATCCGTTCCAGGCCCCCAAATACAATCACTTAACACTGAAAAAATTCTTTGGAAAATGTAAAAATTACGGTACTTTATCTTACCTTAGTGTTGTTCAGCATGCAGGACAGGAGGCAGAGGGGGAGGGGGGAGGAGAGAATTATGGAGAAGAGGTGGAAGAAGAGGAGTCATCTTTCCTAGCCCTCTTTGGTGACTGTCTTACAGGCACTTTGTCTGTGGGTTCTTTTGTTACTTTTTTTTAAAGAAGGAATCTAGGGTTGGCTGCTTCAACCTTGATTTCTGGACCTTCCAAAAGTAGTTCATAACATTGTCATTAAACACACTGATGGCCTTTTCCACAGAACCAACATCAGGATGATAATCCTCAGCAAGTTTAGACAGTTTGCTCCAGCAAAAGCACGCATCCTTGAGATCTTTGGCTGGAATGATGAGGCTTTCCTCCTTGTCCTCATCCTCCCCTGACTCCTCAGATGTTAAGCTCCGCTTCAGTGTCTCATTTTCTTCTTTGTGAAGCTCAAGCAGCTCCTCAGTGGACAGTTCCTTACTGTGCTCCTCCACCAACTCCTCAACATCATCATCATCATCCACTTCCAGGCCCATGGAATTGCCCAGAGACAATTTCATGAACAACAGCCTCTTCTTCTAACTCTTCGAAGGCTTCAAAGTCTCTTTGAAGCACACATTCAGGCCACAATGGCCTCCAAGCAGCACAAAGACACTTCACAGTAACCTCTTTCCTGGCTGAGGTAATTAAAAATACAGCATCTGCTATATTGAAGTGACTCTTCCAAAATTCCTTCAAACTAACATCGCTGGAAGAAGTGGGCGCAAAACATTTTCTAAACAGTGCCTTTGTGTACAGCTTCTTAAAGTTAGAAATTACCTGCTGATCCATGGGCTGGATGAGAGGTGTTGTGTTGGGTGGCAAGAAGTGCACAGTGATGAAATTGAACTCCTCTGGCAATTCAACCATCAAATTAGGAGGGTGGGCTGGTGCATTGTCCATCACCAACAAAGCTTTCGGTGGAAGATTATTCTCCCTGAGGTATTCCCGAGCACTGGGTCCAAACACCTCAATCACCCACTCAGAGAATAAACTCCTGGTCACCGAAGCCTTTGGGTTTGACCGCCACATAACACCAAGGCGGGTCTTCCTAATGTTTTTGAAAGCTCTGGGTTTTTCTGCATGGTACACAAGGAGTGGCTTTATTTTGCAGTCACCAGAAGCATTAGCACAAAGGAGGGTAAGCCTGTCTTTCATTGGCTTATGGCCAGGGCCAGAAGTTTCCTCCCTGGTAATGTATGTACAGCGAGGCATTTTTTTCCAAAAAATCCAGTTTCATCACAGTTGAATACCTGCTGAGAAACAAAACCTCCCTCTTTAATCACATTCAAAAAAATGTCATGGTGTTCCTTACCTGCTTCCTTATCTGCACTAGCAGCATCACCATGTCTCACAACACTATGTAATTTATTTATTTCTTCTGAAACCAGTAAACCACCCCTTGGTACCCCTAAGCACTGGTACATCACTATTACTTGCACTGGGAGTCTTGGCTTTAAGGTTCTCAAACAATTGTCTGGCCTTCTCACAAATTATAGCTTCACTAATGCTATCACCTGCCATTTCTTTCTCCTTTATCCACACTAAGAGTAAATTTTCCGTCTCCTCAATCACATTACACCTTGCTTTGCAAAGTCTAGAGATTCCCTTAGCCACTTGCACAGTTTTCAACTCCTCTTTTTTCTTCAAAATCGTACATATAGTCGATTTAGCCATCCCATACTCATCACTAAGTTTCGCAATGCTTGTTCCATCCTCACGTTTCTTTATGATTTCTTTCTTAGTTTCAAGAGTTATGACCTTTCTCACTCGCTTTGGACGATTCATTGCTACAATTGTACACTTGTATAACAAAATATTTATACAAATAACTCTATTTCCACATCAAAAGACGAAATTTCAACAATAACAGTGGTGCACTGGCTACACAATTAGACAAAGATGGCGCCTGAAGCTCTTGTTGTGGGTCGCGGTACAACAATATTCATGCGCCAGGCGAAATAGTCCCGTAATCATCTGCGTTCGTTGTAGGAGTTGCGTTCGTTATAGCATTCTCAATTTTATAGGTAAAAACGTTCGTTATAGGAATATTCGTAGTAGGATCCATTCGTTATAGCATACCCCACTGTTCTCCAGACAGGGAAGTACCTCACTCTTGAAGATTGTTACAGTTTGGTAGTAATAAGCAATAAGTGTAGACTTTTTCCTGCTAAAATCGAATGTATTGTAATTTGCTAATGTTTTTTCTCAAAGAACTGAAGTGTCAAGGGATCATATGAAGAATCTCCACCCCGGGTTGCATTAGGGGGGAAATTCTTCAGTTGATCAACATGACCCAGTATTCAGGTAATGCGGTCAGTGACAGGTCACTGTGAGGTAGGGATTATCTTTACATAGTGACTGGTTAAGTTAGCCCCTAACATAACCAGGGTTTGGTGAGGTGTAGGGATAACCTTTACTTAGTGAGGTGTTTGGTTAGGTTAGCCCCCTAACCTAACTTCTCACAAAGTAAAGCAATTCATCAGTTTGAACAGAGTGGGGGGAGATTCTTCAAATGGCTACTCTGGGGCGGGGGATCTTCATATAATCCTGTCAAAGACTTAGATGCCTTCTTGAAATTTTTTAGATACTGTACTGAAAATATATAATTGCAGTATACAGTTTTTTGAGTCCTAATGCTATACTGAATCTGTTACATAGAAGTACATGCAAGCAACAAATAACATAATGCTTTATTGGTGCCCCAGTTGCAAGGCATCCTTACCATTTACAGGCAGTCCCCGACTTACGATGGGGTTAGGGACCCAAATCCAGGTCATAAGTCGAAAATGCGAAAATAATACATAGAAAATCTAAAATGGGTGTCTCTTTTTCTTCTTAGCACCACAAAACTCTCACTTTTAAGCTTGCCAGCCATTTTAAAAGGAATTACAAATGAAAATTTTGTCAGTACACAGCGCAATCACTAATTTAGGGACTCGAAAATACGTAATTTGAAAACAAAATTGGTACGACTGGGGCGGTCGTATGTCCGAGTGGTCGTAAGTCGAGTAGGTCGAAAGTCGAGGAGTACAGTACCTGTATTATGCTTTTCAGATATTTTGATGCGAGTATTAATTTTGGTTTTACTGTACCTGCAAACTCTGGTGTGGATCAATTTGTTTTTGCTAAAGAGCTTGGTATACATAGTCTCTGTAATGTACAAAAATAGTCATTTAGGTATGACAGTACTGTACAGTAAACATAACCAATCATGCCTAAACTTAACAGTTTCAGGAAACAATTGTATTAATTTAGATGTACTGTAAATGAAAATGACAACAGAGAAGATAAATAACCTTCACTCTGAAAACATAGCCAATATAATTGTTTTAGACAGACATGAACTAATGAGATCTAACACTATAAATAACCTGTAAATTTTTTCACGAACATGTGATATACAAAACGAAATGAGGCACAGGGTGCAACCGCATGCACTAGACCAGCATTTCTTATTCATGATCACATGTTGACGACAAATTCTTAGCTGCAGTAGTGTCCGCACCCTTAGGTTTGATTTGTTTCAAGTTAGACAGGAGATAAAAACCAGTAAGATCAACTG